CTTGCTCGATATACAGGCCAGATAGGTGGACCGAAAGAGTATCAGTAATAAAAACATAATACCTACTACGTAGCAACATAACGTCTAGATCGAATCTAGATCACAACGCAGCTTGCTAGTACAGTATATCAAACCAATCCATAATACCACTCGAAACACCCCTATGGATATATCTCTATTCTGCGCCATGTTTTACTAACCACAGATACGGAAGAGTAGGTATGTAATAAGTACTCAAAGTGATACAAGCAATCCAGTTAATAAACCATCCATCCGATAAAACAACCTATACCCGCATACACGCACACATCCGGACGGACAACCATAAAATCTTTCCTAAGCAGCAAAGTAACGATACGGTACTTGTCTGCTTACTACTGAGTTACTTTCCTCGCACAAGTACTTAATTTCCAGCTCGGTCCACCGGTCCCCCGCCCCCAAAAAGCATAACCAAAGAACAACAACCCAACCGGTACAACTACAACTCACCCAATACACCATTTCGGCTTGGATACCAGAAGTCTAATCAAATTCACCCACCTTAATGACTGTAGACCTACTGATCGAGACCATCACCATCCACACACGCAGACCCACACGCTTCAGCGTCCACGCATGCAGCCCTCCCAAAAAGAAACACACGCAAACGATAAACCATCCAAGCAGGATGCCAAGCCGGCATTTTAGACCACGAAGTCTGTAAGTAAATAAACAAAATGAGAGTACGAGGTCCAGCCAGAACCCACCGACAAACCATACGCAGATCAGTGCACACCCTCCCTCCATCCATCCAGCCAGCCCGCCCGCCCAACAAACATCCTGTCACCCATCCAGCAGCTCACGCGCCGTTTCGTAGTCTGTGCATGCCCCATTCCCGCCCTACTTCCTTCTCATTTAATTCCTCATTTCATTCATGAACTTTTAATTTGATGATCGACGTGCCTACGAGGTACCGTAACCTACGTAGTACCTATCCGTATACTACGTAGCTCCCGATCCTGTCATCCTCCGTACACCCCCAAAAAAAGACGTAAAAAAAAGAGGTAAAAGTAAAAAAAAGAAAAGAAAAAAAAGAAGGGGAATTGTATAGCAAGCAAGCAAGCAAGCAAGCAAGCAAGCAAGCAAGCAAGCAAGCCTATTCATCCGATCAAGCCCCTTCTCGTATAGCCCACCCCAACCTAACCCAGCCTTGTAAAGCTAGCTAGCTACAATGTTACCTCTCTCTCTCTCTCTCTCTGTCTCTGTCTGTCTGTCACAGCTCCCAAGCCTACACTATCCGAGTTTAGTTTTCCTTTCCTGTTCCAGTCTCCCCTTTCTCTCCTTCCTCTCCTCTCTATTTTCCCACTCCCAATCCCACTCCCACTCCCAATCCCAATCCCACCCCCATCCAAATTCCCCATCCAAATTCCCCCATGCAGCTCCTCCCGGACCAGGGAGATCAGTGTGTATCACTCTACGTCCGAGTACGTACCTACACTCTGCATACGCTCCGTCTAAACTCCGAGCTTACCTACCTACCTTCCTCCCATCCCCATCCCCCATCCCCATCCCCATCCCCATCATCATCATCATCACCCGCCCCCGCCTCCCCTCCCCTCCCCCAAAAAAAAAGGACCAAAAAAGCGCAACCATCTAGGCAATTATCTCTTATCTTTCTTTCTTCACCCACCCACCCACCTACCAATCTATGTAAATTAAATTAATAATAAAAAATCAATTAAAAAAAATAATAAATAAATAATAAATAAACAATATACATATATAAATTAATTAATTCCTCCCCCTCCCCCCCCCCCGTCCCCCTTCTCCTTACAGTAAGTACCTACCTACCTACCTACTGTAAGAGTCCACAACTTACTTACCTACTTACTTACTTGCTTACAACAACTACAACTATCTTATAGTTCGCGCACGTACGCCCGGACACCCACACACCCACCCACCCAGCCGGGAACCCGGATGGCGCCCCCCCCTCCACCTCCCTCACCCCCCAAATTTTTCCTTTCGCAGAATTACGTAGCGGACTCCCTCCGTACAGGTACCTAACCTACGTACCTAACCTACGTACCAACCTACCCTACCTACCTTCCCTTCCCTTCCCGACGTAAGATGAAGAAAGGGGGGAAAGGAAAAAAAAGGGTACCTACTTACCTACTTACTTACTACACCATCTCCGTTTTTTACACTTCCCTTCACTTTTACACTTCCCTTTTACACTTCCCTTCTACACTTCCCTTCCCTTTCAATTAGTTTACACTTTGGGAATCTCTTTTTGCTTTTTCCTTTCCCTTTTTCCTTTCTTTCACACGTGGGAAGACGACGCGGCCCGTCGTCGTATTCAATACTAATATTATTACTACTATTATTATTATTACTGTGATAATTTTTGAATTTTGAATTTTTTTAAATTTTTTTCCCCCTCTCTTTCCTCCGTCGCCGTCGCGGGATGGATGGATGGATGGATGGATGGGTGAGCGGTTATTGGGCTTTGGCAGATAGAGTACCGGTAGATGCGTAGCATCGTTCGAGGTACAGGATGGGTAGGTTTTGGGCTGCTGTACGGTACGGTAGGTTGGCCGAGGAGGGACGGTACTAGTCTGTGGGTGAGAGGAGGTACTACGTAGTACTTAGGCGTATTCGGGATTTTTGGGAGGGGGGAGAGGGGGGGGTGGAACTGCCGGATGCGCGCCAAGGCCCCCCAGTCGTTGGTGAACCCTCGACGTGGTTTGTAATGCGACGGTTATACCATCGTCGCGGGCGCTACAGTAGGAGGCAGAGTAAGGCCCGGAAAGTACATTCCGACACGGTACAATCCAGCACAGCACAGCGCAGCACAGCACAGCACAGCGCAGCACAGCGTACGAAGCGTAGGACAGTACGGAGCAGCAGCGACCCCCAACATTAAGCGAGCCCCTTTCCCTAGCGAGGATAGCGATAGCTAGCTAAAGGCGCTGACAAAAACATCCCGTTATCCTCACCAAGAAGCACGATGTTGTCATCATCACCTATCTTTATCAATCATCCGGACCTGCATTTGAAACTTATTCAATGTGATAGACCATGTACCTGAGCTTACCTTAGCTTAGTAGTTCGTACCTTGCGAGGAGGTACTAGTACGTACCTGACCTCACTCTACCGTGGACCCCCAGCTTCAACCTCGGTCGGGTCGGCGGGTCGGGTCCATCGCCAAAAGTCAAAAAGTCAAAAAGCCAAAAAGCCAAAAAGCCGAAAAGCCAAAAAGCCAAAAAGCCAAAAGGCTAAGCCAAAAGTCTAAAACCGGTTGTGCTGCATGCATCAGCCATGACTCGAAGGGAGTCGGGCCTCCTGTTTCAGAGGCCCTCTCCCTGCTGCCTCGGTGCCCCCCTCTGCTCCGATGGCACCGGCTATGATAGGTCGATAGGGCTGGGTAACTTCCAAATTCTGCATGCAAAGACGTTTTTGACGGCCCGCGTGGTGTCCGCACAGTGGAGTACCGTAGTACGGAGTACAGGTGGGAAGTAAAAGAGAGTAGTATACTACTATTAGTTCCTACTATTACCGCTGCGGCGCACCAAAAAAGGACGCGCGTGGCAGCCCTGACCTGGCCTGGCTCGCCTTCCCACCCCTTCCCTCCATGTTCCCTGTCCCCTTTGCTACCAGCCCAGGGCCAGAAACGGGATCCGGGACGAGGATGGGCTGCGGCGCTGGCACAGGCCATGGTTCAAAATAACCACCTCCATGATTATACGGAACGGACTTCTTTCCTCTACGTGTAGTACATCATTGCCCGTATCTACTGTGTCGTCCTTCAACTTGGGACGAACGGAGAAAAGTCTAATCCCCGCTGCGCCGTTCCGCACCGAGGGTGAAGTGGATACTGAGACTTAGAGTTCAGCAGTTAGAGTAGATTGCACTCCCCTCCGGGGAGAGAGGGCAGGACCAGATTGCAGTCCGCGCGCTGCCTTCTTGGGAGTTCTTCTCTTGGATCAAGGTCATATACCGCCAGATTTCCCTGCACAGACGACTTGTCTTTCGTTCGTCAACCTGACCTTCGTCGTTCCTTTATCGTCGCTGGCCGCTCTTCCGATTCTCCAAAAACACCATCATCGTCGACACTCCTGGATCTTCGAGTGCTTTACCTGCCATCGCTGCCGGTCTCTGCACGCTTTCGCTTTCCCGAGTGCCCGCCCAACCACCATCGAAATCGGGCCCGAGACAGAGAGAGAGAGAGATATATATATATTTATATATATATACACATAAATATATTCGCGATGACGATCGACACTCCGCTGGTGGCTTTGACGTTGACGGGCAGCCTGCTGTCGGTGCTGGGAACGACTTTCATTTTGGTTTGTTATATGATCTTGCCGCAGAAGCGGCACATCCGCCACGCCCTGATTATTAATCTGACGATCGCCGGTACGTGGTTCTGATGTTTTTATCTTCTGCCGAGGAGTTAGAGAGGGGATGTGTGTGGGGGTGTGTGGGGGTGTGTAGGTGTAAGAGGTGGATGAAGAGGGAGTGTTGTGTGTGAGAGAAGGAGAGAGAGCAGGAGAGAGAGAGAGAGACA